GATGGACAGGGGTATACTACTGTGTACTATACTGTATTCCTTAAATTAGCAAACCAGTAGCTACACTAAATATTGGCTTACACTAGATTGAATGTTCAAATGAACTATGAACATCCGTGGAACAAATGACTTCAGTATATACAGCAGAATTCTCAAACTACAGGGAAAATGTCACAACTGTAATAAACAGAATTAAAGATTGAACTGCAGTCTTTCACACAGTTTTGACAGTGAGACAAAGCATTAACCAGAGTCACACAGAGCCAAAGCCAAGCACTTTGTCAGCCTCTCATCTGTCTGGCAGTAGACGCTCCCTTTTGTGTTTCCCCATGCACACAGGCCACTGTAATCCCTCAGCACATTCCACGCTTCACATGGTGTTGTTTCTTTTTTGCCTTTCTTCTCCTCCGTTACCACAAGGGTCAAGACACAAACTTAAATTGTCTTAGGCTGGTGCTGTATGCACACATAATTACAAACAAGCAAATGGAAAGCAACTTTTAAAAAAGGGAAGAAAAAAACATATGCCTTAGAGTGCAGACATCTATTTCACACCCACGCATAAATACACATGCCGACAAGATACAGAACCAGAAAATGAAGGTGTTTTTTTTTCCCTATCCAAGTGTTGAAGTGGTGAATCATAAGAGTGCAAAAAAACGTTGGTGAACAAAACACTTGGCTGGTGTTCAACACAGATGAGTGAAAACACCCAGTGTGAGCTGAATCACAAAGCTCATCTCTTGTGGACAAAAGCAGCTCTAGTTATCTTCTTTTTGTCTGACAAGTGTTATCTCGGTACATATAAAAATGTAGTAAAAGCAAATATGTGATGTCTGCACAGATCATCAAAGTAAATCCAATTTGGGGTGTTTTTACACCTGAAAGTGTGAACTATCTGTAGCTTAGTTAAAAAAGTTCTGCATGGTGATGTAGCTGATTGCACTGTGGCCCCAAAATTGTTATTCCCTGTTTGAGGCTGTGTAGTTTGATGCACAGTACCCTGATCTTGTAAACCAATATAAAGTAAACACCAAATATTCCATGTGAAATTATTTTTGACATGACTGTTTCTAAAAGTAAACAAAGTTTCTAGTGCATTACCTGCACTTACAGACATCTGAGTTTTAGGAAAAATTGCCAGTATGTGTGAGTCTGGATCAGAAAATACATTGCACTTACTTTTCATAGGCTAGGTCATGTTTTGTTATAAACTGACTTAACATCTAGTAAATTGTAATAAATCTTGGAAAAAAGTCATTTAAAACTTAGCATTTTATAATTCCACACTACTAGGTCTGTTGCTCAGACCTTTTTGGAAGCTCCCCCTTAAAAACGGTAGAAAGAGAAAAGGGCAATTTAAAATATTGCAATGCAAAATCCACATTATTTTGGTGTACTTGGAGTCTCCAGTAGTGCAGAAAAAATTGAATGTAGTCTCTCCTGGTACTGAAAATGTATTTTTATATTATGTTTGGACTACAATTTTCATCCCCTTCAGTTTTCTTGCTTTTAATGACATTTTCTTAACTACAATTTTATATCTGCGACAGAATTGCCAAATATGGCCTGGTCTTACAAACTACAATTTTGCCAACTTCATTCTCCTCTGGCTCTGTGTCAGACTCTGGTTTTAACATGTTAGGTTTGATGGACAAACCTTCCATTGCTGGCATGTTTTAATTCATTTGTAAATAAAACGTTTCTGCACCGCTACATAGTCGTAAACCCCTTTCTCAAACTAGAATGGACCACTCTGGAAGCTGGAGCGGGGAGGCACGTGAAGTGCCTTGTTAGGATTTAAAGAGACAGCATCAAAATGAGTTGATCTGAGAAACACCTTAGAAAAGGAGTGGAAGAGAGGCGTGTGGAGTTACAATAAGGAGGAAGTCTGACCAAAGCATTGCAGTTCCCCTTCATAGAGATCCCAATGATTTAAATGTAAAAAACAAGGATTTAAAAGCATGAAATGTCCACTTTAAAAAAAGGTCCTTTAACAGGAGACTTGACAGCACAGCCATCTTTCGTTCTAACATTACAAATTCAACCAATAAGTCCAGTAAGGCAGTCAGTGGCAACTACAGCATGTCAGATATTGATTGGTCTTTAGATTTTTATTTGACAAAGCTGGATTTTTATTCTCACATTGATTCTACCAGAGTACAAATATATCTGTAAATCTAAATTCTTAAACATTTTATTTCATCTTTCTTCAGGTAAATATCATCAGCTGTCAACAACACAAGACACTAGCTATGTTTACATGCGCAAAATTCTTTGATCGGATTGAAATGTATTCAGATTAAATCATCGGAATGTATCGTTTACATGCGCACAATCCAATCATGATGAGTGTTTACATGCACTAGGCTTTTATTCAGAAGAGAAACACTGACATATGCAGTTGCTAACTCCCCCCGCCAAAAAAAGTAATTAAAAAACACAGAAAAGAGTTTTACTTTCGTCATGAACGTAAATAAACAGCTTCTGAGAGCTCGGAATGGACCTGTGGCAGCTTTTAATAATGGAGATATCACTGCACTCTCTGCTTAAGCTACAGGTGACGGACGCCAAATTTTACTTATTTATTTATTTTGGGAAGCGACGCAGGCTGTTTGTCTTCCTTCCTTACTGAAAGAGAGAACAGGAGGAAAAGTTCTGTGCTACTGGAAACAGCGCTGCCCCCCCCCCCCCCCCCTTCAAAATAGCAGAAACCGCTGGATGAAAGTCAGCAGACATGCGCAGTCAGGTCAGTTTTCCACAATCAGAATAAGATGATCAGATTAAGTGTTTACATGCACGCTGTTCAGATTATCAAWCAACATAAACCACCCCTCTCGTTCCGATTACAAATTCATTGGGATTGAGCTGAATTGGGTCAGAATAAKCYGAATGGGGTGTTTACATGATGCATTTTTATTTTAAATGGCCGTTTAATCCGATTACTTATGTCCATGTAAACGTAGCTAGTGTTATTGTTTTTCTAGCCCTAAGAAAAGATTAAACCTGCAGACTGAGGTGGCGAGGGGGTTGACAGGAACAATACGGTCCTATTTTGTTCAAGAAGCATTTGAAACAKTGATATACAGTATGTCCAAACTGCATAGATAAACTCGTAAAAATTAAAAAATAAATAAATAAAAAAGAAGGGCTCTGAATATGACTCATTTAAATGGCCCCTCCTTTTTTCCCCAGGAGTAGGTCCTCTCTATAGCCTGATAAGTCTGCTTCCGGAGACATATTGGTTTAATCTGACTGACAGCCAGGAGGCAGTAATAACCATCCATAATCTAAATAGGAAGGAGCCAGCTTGTCCAGCCCAGGCTTGATATGACCTCAAGGTGTTCAGTGAAGATAGACGAGTGTGTGCAAAGGATGGAGAGGTATCAAAAACCATAAGAAACATGCCTTCACTACATACGCACACATGAGAACGAGCGTGCACGTGCGCGCGCGCACACACACACACACACACACAAAAAAAAAAAGACCATCAAGGTGTTGAAAAATAAACCAATGCTGTA